TGAGCAGTTATCTGAAGAAGCAGTAGCTGAAAGATTTAGAGGCCTTCCATTGACACTTCCCGACCGTTTAGTATGCGAAGCAATATGAAAGATTTAAAGCACACAGGGCCGAGCACAGACACTTGTACACAAAAAATATATATTTAAGCTCTATGAGTTAATACGTTGAAATTCACCCAATACTATTTGAAAGTACATCACTACTATATAAAATTTAGTAACTTCGAAAAGAAACAAGTGCGGCTGATGTGAACGACCTGACCAAATTGAAGTTTGAAGTTTATTCATCATTGAAGCATACATCTTTATCCAATAGTTTAATGGAAAGGGAGGGGCGAAAAGGTAACTAAATGTCTGACAATGCGCCAATCCCCGCATTGTAGTTGGGTGTTTTTGTGTACGCTCGTTATAGCGAGAGAACGGCTAGTGCCTATGTAGAAGGGCTGAATTTCACCATTAAGTGGCATTCAAGCATAAAAAGCCACGACAACAACTCGGAGCGGAAAATTGGGGGACCCTTAAGCTTCGCATTAAAGAGTTGAACGCGATAGTGAAATCCGGCCCCTAGTGCATCCTTCAACCGCTAAATACATACTTATTCATATGTTTAGTTACATACACTTGCACGCACACAAACACGCATACAGTAGATTGGACCAGCGTGCGCAATTATCGTCCAATGGGCTCGTTTTCGTCTTGGCACCTGTCGAACAAAATGCGTTCAAGGGGCCCTGAAACACTTTTTTCAAGTAACCATGGAACGAATTCACTAGAACAGCTTATTGCCTTACGAATTCAACGCCGCAAAAATTTTTAAGAATCCGCCTAGTGCGAGCGGAGTTACAAAGGTTTGTCGCATGCTGCAATTGCATTATCTCTTCTCTCGTCCCGACGAAAGCGCTGGAAGCTAAGCAGGGAGGGGTGGCAGGGCAAATAAACTACCGCGCCTCGTGACCTTGAGCCTTTTTTTTTTTTCCTTCGAATGCGCGGCTTTTCAGTGTTATTGTGCGTGCACGCGTGGACAAGTAGCGGCCTCCCGCGGCTATCTCGGTAACTTAATTTTTCAGGTCACAGACGCACCGGCAATTTTTCGCTCACAACCAACGGGGCCGACGCGCGCGGCTGGTTTTCTGCGACACGAGCTCTTTAACGCAATCCCGTTAAAATATACAAATTGGCCACACAGCCCACTCACAGAGCCATCACGGCAGCGAGCGTAGCGCTCGTTTAGCCAGCAGCGCCCTTTAGTATAGTGTACTAGAATATTCTACTAGGATTACTAGAATATTCTAGTACACTATACCTCTAGTGGCACGCGGACGGTCGTCGCTAGAAGGGCCCTCTTTCCGGCGCCGCACAGCACTTTTCCCCTTCTAGTACACTAAGGGTACCCCTTCTAGTACATTGTACTACAGTGTCTAGAAATATACTGGCTAGTGTGCCGAGCGTGCGCAATCCGTAGGAGAGAGGGTGGCCCCGCATGTGATGACTGCACTCGGATACCACAAGCGGCACTGCGTGTCGAGTGGGTGCACGAAAGCGCGAAATTCCTCTCGTCCTGTTGCTGCCAGAGCGTCGCCACGAGTAAAATCACTGTGTGACAGCTATCATCTGTTTTACTGTGAAGTTCGACGACGCCATATGTAGGCTGCAACATCCTGAGATGTTAAAAGCTAAGTGGCAATGCAAAGAAAAGACGTGTTTTGTGCCGCTGTATCGAAGAAGTTATTGGTCGAACAAGGAAAAGGTGTCTTGTTCCCCGCTCCCCGCACCAACAGATCCAGCACAGTTTCCTGAATGGAAAAGTAGGATCAAGAGGGCAGATAGAAGGCTGACGCCGAAGGCAATCGTGTGAGAAAGGCATTTTGAGAGTGACTCCATCGAACTATCTTTTCTTATTAGAGTAAACGTTGTCGGGAACGAAATCGCCGTTTAGGCGTAATTTCAAATATCAATGTTTACCTAAAAATGAAAATACCGTTTCGAATTTCAGACACACACTTTTTTCCCCATTTCAACGTCGGACTCCCTTTGCAACAACGTATTCAGTATAATATGTGGCGAGTGTCAGATTGTTCACTGGCATGTTATCATTCTTTGTTTTCACTCGAATCCTAGTGGAATGCAGGCTAAGAGGTAAAGGTTTTTGGGTCTCCTGTGATAATTCTTATTCTCAAGAACAAAGCACATTTTAAAAATAACTCTGGTGGTTATACTGTCAATGGTCTTTAAAATTAATTTGTTTGCGTACTGCAACCACTTTGAGCATCTGTCCGTCCGTCCGTCCGTCTGTCTGTCTGTCAAATCGTCTACGCCTGAGTGCCTTCACGATCCCCCTCCCCTTAACTTAGGGTAAAGCAAAATTAGTGTGGACGGCTAAGATGGTTTGATGAATATGACTCGCTGGTCCTGACATGAATAATTTCACAATCCCGTCACGTACGCCATCAAACCCTTCACGCCACACCTTTTTTTTTTATGCGTGAGCGTTAAGAAAAAGCTGGTGTTCCCAACTTTGACCCTACTAATGCAAATAATAAACATTTGTGTCCCAGCAGAGGAATCTAAACTGTGGAAATCAGGTATTCTACTACAGAGCCACGCCAGGTTTCCAAAATACTTTGCAAGAAGGGACTAATGTTCGTGAAACGGCAATTCTGGCTCCAGTGTTGCCTATTCAACTTTTTGCATATATTTAGCGCCACTTTTTAATGTTTCGCTTAATAAAAAATTACTACAGAGTCAGCTTCCATCAGCATGCTTTGCACAGCATTGACTCCCAAGTTACGTGGGATTTGCCATTTTTTGTTGTTTTTTTTTTGCGGGTGGTAGCGGATGGCGAAAAGTATGTTACGAAATGATCTTCATTCGGTATTGCAAAGTGCCAATACTGTAAAAGCAATCGAGTGGTTCTTATACAATAAAGCAGTTTGTAAAGAACACTCCAAAAATACAAAAGAATAAAAGTAGGCCTCGCCCGGCTCGGCCTCCTGAAAGCTTCGCAGCGCTTGCGGAGCGCAAGGATTGAACGCAAATGCACCCACTCGCACAGCAGCGCACCATGCGGGTGCCGCCGGCGGTCATCAGCTGCGGGGCCATCTACTAGCCCGCGCTCAGCACACTATAGGCAGTATATTTCTATAGACGCTGTAACTGTACGAAGGGGGCAGTGAAATGAACGAGGCGGCCGCACTTCTAGTACACTCTAACCGCGCCACGTCTCGACTGATTCTCAGGCGGGTGACGGTAGCGGCGGCGCTGTAGTCCCATGGTACTAAAGATCTCAGGAGCGTCTGCGTTGGGAGCGCGCGCGCCGTAGCCTGCGAAAGCGTGTGATTGCTCGTTTTCAGCGTGTCAATGCGTTTCTGAGCCTTTATCAATGTATGCACACCTGATGCGCGCCATGGTGAAGGAGTGAATATGCAGGCACGCCGAAATTGCATCGATACATTCACTGTTTCGAAAGCGTGCCGACCCACACACGCACAAAAAAAGTGTCAATCGAAATTTGCACAGATACGCCTGACTTCTCACTCAAGCAGCGCTTTGAGCTGCATTACATCATAAGTGGCTACTGGCTAACTACAAAGAGAAGTATAAAACCCGCGATTAAATCATATAATTATTTTGTCGGCAGTCTCTACAGTATCCGGAGAACGGTGTTCCTCATATGAGCCTACATACGCTCAATTGTTTCACGAGAAACCTGAGTATAAATAAGTAACGTTGTTGCAAAATTTATATCGATAACGATTCACTTTTATCATGCCGTAGTTTTGCGGAAGATAATATTTATTGCTTTCTGAAAGGCTTATTACATATAAACATAATAAAAACAACACACAAACATATTAAAAAGTGCCAATCGTATTTAAAGCCTGTCTGTTAATCTACGTAAGTTCACTGTAACCAGTTCTCATTTTGTATCGACAGCTTGAATTATGCTGCTTTCTAAATATTCTATTGTCGTAACGCCATTTGCAAGCCAGCAAATTTATGACGATGTTTTATATTATAAGTGTAGTTCTATTATTAAGTGTCAAAAGTGTAGGCAGGCAGTGGTGCATCTTGCTTTGAGAAATTTAACTTGTGTATGTAGTCAGTAAACACACACACATATATATATAGTCCAGTAGATCCTCCATGAGCGGTCACAACGTGGTCTATTTCGACGTTTCAGCCTAGAGTCTGGCCTTCATCAGGCCAGACTCTAGGCTTTATATATATATATATATATATATATATATATATATATATATATATATATATATATGAGATATAACAGACAGTAATGCCAAGGAATGTACAGGGGAAGTTATTAACATTAATGGAATGTAAATAAGAAGAAAGAAAAGTGGATGAAAAAATTACCAACCGTAAGCAGGAATCGAACCTACGACCTTCGAATTACGCGTTCGATGCTCTAACCACTGAGCTATTACAGCGGCACTCCCTCCATCCACTTTTTTGGGTTTATCTGTGAATTTAGAAGTAGGAGCGACAGTCAGCGCCATCTATAAGCCAAACAACGAGTGTGAAAACACTCTTATGCGCATGTTTGGCGTCACGTAGCACGTGAACTTATTATGAGCGGGCAGCTGATTAATTGTCCCTCTTATACAACCTAAACACACCAAGTCTGCCAGTACGAGACCCTCGTTCAATGAAATAAGGGAAAGAAGTGTATACCTAAGGGCTCGTTTTTCCGTGTTTTTAACACAATAATAATGAGATATAACAGACAGTAATGCCAAGGAATGTACAGGGGAAGTTATTAACATTAATGGAATGTAAATAAGAAGAAAGAAAAGTGGATGAAAAAATTACCAACCGTAAGCAGGAATCGAACCTACGACCTTCGAATTACGCGTTCGATGCTCTAACCACTGAGCTATTACAGTTTTTTTTTTCTTTATTACCTGTTTTTCTGTACAGGTGTTCACACATAAACATGAATGATAAAATACACTTGGACCAATATTTGATCCGAAGTGCTCACATTAAAATTTTTTCAGGTTGCACAATTCCTCTAACATTGTTAGCCAGCTGGGAGGTTCTTCTTCTTGTTTATACACCTCAGTGATATACCGCATATTTGCAATGAAGTTCTCCCGGACAGGACGTATGTTCTGGTCAAGATGTCTGTAAGCCATAGTGGTCTGCCAGATGCTGTGAAGGCTAATTAACATAACCATGTCGTATGGTATGCCGTCGTCCTCATCCACACAGAGAAAACGAATGCCATGGCTTGTAATGGGGAGATCTTTTTTCAATGTTCTTTGAAGGATGTCCCAATGAAAGACAGCGTCCCAGCAATGAATAAACACATGGTCTATTGTCTCAGGTGTTTTACAAAGTAAACAATTGGTTGTCCATGGTACATCGATTCCCTTGTCCGCTAGCCACTGCTTTACGGGGAGAGTCCCGGAATGCAATTTAAAAAAGAAAGTTTTTGCCCCTGCTTTTACTTTCATCTTTTTGACCCTTTTCAAAACATCCTGTCCGGGTCCTCCATTGAACATAGATCTGTACAAAGGTGTTGGTAACAAGACATCACGGAGATCTCTGTACAGTTTTTTTCGCTTAACAGTGGCAAGATATTCCAGCGAAAAACGCACTTTCAAAAACTCAAAAGACTGTATAACTTCTCTCAAAAAACCAGACACATATCGGCACATACCACTGTCCGTAGACACAACAAAATCTGGGATGCGTGATGACAGCCTTACTTTTATCACTGTTTGCAGAAATTTGTTTCTTTGATCGCGAAGGAAAATAAACCGAGAGACAACTTGTCTAATAAATAAATGACATAAACCGAGTCCGCCATTACTAACGGACTGGAATAAATTAGACCGGCTTGTACGTTCCCACGGTGATTTCCACACAAACACAGCAAAAATCCTGTGAAACTTCTGTACATTGACGCGTGACATACAGATAACTTGCATGACATACCAGATTTTTGATATCAAAAACATGTTGCACACAGTTGCACGTGCGAATATAGACAGATCCCGACCACCCCAGGCATTTGTTTTTTGCCTGAGGGTTTCTGCTTCACCTTTCCAGTAATCCGCGTTGTCGCGATAGCTGTCCAAGGGTACACCGAGGTACTCTAGGGGTTTGCTTTCCCATTTTACGTTAAGGTATACCTCAGGCCTCACATCCCAGTTGCCGTACCAAAAGGCAGTTGTTTTATGCCAGTTAATTACACTGCCCGTCATGTCACAAAATTTATTTGCCATGTAAACGACTTCACATATACTTTGTCTATCTTGGCAGAGTACTGCCACATCGTCAGCATATGCGAGTAATTTTATCTCCGTGTTCTGTAACCGAAAGCCTTGCACACTTGAGTTTTGAATGATTGATAAGCAAAAGGGTTCTAGGTAGATGGCGAATAACAATGCTGATGCCGGGCATCCCTGTCTGATAGAACTTAGTATTTCAATTTCTTCACTGAGCTGCTTATTGACTATCAACTGCGTTACACACTGTGAATATGCCATCTTCAAACCATCAAAAATTACGTCACCAACTCCCACATGCTCCAACACACTGAACAATACTTCATGGGAGACACGGTCAAAAGCTTTCTGTAGATCTATCTGCATGATTGCTATTCGTTCTTCAAAGGCGTCACAAATCTCTAGTACACTTCTTACTATATGTATGTTCGTGGTGATGCTGCGACCTTTTATGCCGCATGTCTGGTGTGTCCCTACAATCTTTTCAATATTGTTCTGAATTCTCCTGGCTAAAACCTTCATGAATATTTTATAATCAGTGTTCAAAAGACCGATAGGTCGATATGATGTTACAGATTGAAGTTTGCTGCTATCATCTGTCTTCGGAATCAAGGCAGTATGCGCCTGCGTGTAAGAGCGTGGCAGTTTTTTCTTTTTGTATGCTTCTACGATAACTTCGTATAGCGCAACTGCCACGTCTTCTTTATAAACTTTATAAAACTCCGCCCCAATTCCATCAGGGCCGGGCGTCTTGCCTGTACTTAGGTCGTCAATAGCTTTTTCTATTTCCCGTACGCTGATAGGAGCCCCTAATTTTTTTCGTGTATCGTCGTCAAGCTTGGGCATCGCATCAAGAAAGACATCACAAAAACCCGTGGCCATCGGTACTCGTTTTCCGAGCAGATTGCGATAATGGTCCACAAACGCCTCCATTATCTGATCTTTTTCATTCGTCAGTATGTCATTGCGTACTATTTCTCTGATTTCATTTCTTTGTGCGTATGTTTTTTCATCACCCAAAGCTCGTTTTGTGGGTGTCTCACCTATCCAAAGTTTTTCACTTCTAGCTCTTATTATAGCGCCTTTATACTTCTCTTTATCTAAAATCTCCAGTTTGTTTTTAGTATCTGTTATTTCATTGGTAAAGGAGCCGGATTTCACAGTTTCTTCCTGCAAGAGCACTTGTAATTGCCTTCGCAGGTTCCTTTCCGCCTGTTTCTTCTCGAAGTTATTTTTTGTAGATCGTTCTATTGCATTCATTTTAACCTCTTCTTTGAAAAATTCCCACTTTGTTTCCCAGTCATCTTTTTGATTACCGTAGAGTTTCGTGAGGGCTTCGGTTACATCTTTACCATAAGATTCATCTTTCAAGATTTGGCTGTTTAGTTTCCACAAGTGCCAGTTAAATTTAGGAGTCCTGTCTTTAGCGCCAAGTGTGAAACTAATCATACAGTGGTCGCTGAAAGACACTGGTGTAACAACATATTCATCACAGCACATAATAAGGTCCAGTGATATGTACGCTCTGTCTAAACGTGCGTGGCTTAGACCCTGGAAGTGCGTAAACTGAACACTGCAATTAGACATACATAAACCAACATCTTCCAGTCCATTTTCTGCAATCATCTCATTTAAGAACACTGCGCTTTTATCAAATGACTGGGCCGGCTTGGTACGGTCCTCCTTTCTACAAACACAGTTAAAATCACCAAAAAGGACGACATATTTGTCACATTCCAGTAAGTTACTTATTTCTTCAAAGAAAACTTTCCTTTCACTGTCTCGGTTCGGAGCATAAACGCATATGACACGCCATTCGAAATTCAAGAAAGAAAAATCACACACTACGAAGCGTCCTTTATCGCTGCTTGCTACACTCCTTTCCACAACGCCTATCGATCGTCGTATGAAGAGCGCACACCCTCCTGATAAGCCATCAGCATGGGATACACAGATGTTATACATTGAGCGAAAAGGCAACGTCATATGATTGGTATCTTTCTCTGCCGCTATCTTAGTTTCCTGCACAGCAATCACATCCAAGTCATGCTCCGAAAACAGCCTACTCAACTGGTACTGCCGCCTTCTTGAAGATAATCCGCGTACATTTAAGCTGGCGAAACGCATTGCTCTTTTAAGCTTCAGGCTCATTTTTTTTTTTTTTTTTAAACAAGTAGCTTGCTCACCATACCGTCTTAGCCGAACTCCGCCTATTTAGTCGTCCGGTGCACCTTCTTGGTAGAAGGTGACACATAATGTGTTGTCAAGAGGCCGGTTTTCCCGTCCTCTTTTCCCCTTCTGTTATATTATGTTTGACCGCCAGTCGTTGCCTCCGAAGGAGAGCTGCTTTCGGTGGCGGTTCTTGATTGCTCATGTCACTTGATTGTGTTGAGGCTGCGTCTCGTGGTCGTTTCCCTCCCACACCTGGTTCCTCGGCGTCGTGCCACTCCATGGCGCCACCCTCGGCAGGTTCCTGGACAGTTTGAGTAGATGTTTCACTCTCGTCTGTAGCAGCGGTTGCGTCGTTTAAAACATCAGTCTCCTTTGCGCTCGTCAGTGATTCTGCGGCCGCTTGCATACACGCAGGTTCACTTGTTTGTCCTGCTTCTTTCACATCCATCACGCCTCCTGTACTGAATGTTTTTTCCGCAGAAGTCACCTGTGATTTCGCCAATGCATCCACGATAGGTTGCGCTCCCCCACTGTCAGTTGATCTTGGCGGTTCTTTCTGCAATCGCGTCATGCCTGCTGCACTAGGCGTTTTTCCTTCACAAGCCGCTTTCGATTTCACCGATTCTTCTGCTTCGGTCTCGTCCATAGTGAGCTCGGATTTATCCATGCTCCCGGTGTTCAGTGCAGCAGCTGCATACGTCTTCGTGCAGTTCCCAGGGGCGTGTCCAAAACGCCTGCAAGTGTCACACCGCGGGACTCGACAGTCCCTCCTAATGTGGCCAATCTGCTGGCAGCGTAAACACCGCGGCGCTCTTCCGGTTGCCACAATAAGTGCGAGCTCTCCTCCAACTCGTAACTGGTGAGGTATATCGTCCAGCGTAACGTTAGCCTTTAGCCGTAGCGTCACGGTTCTCGTCATGGTATTCTGCTGGGTGTAGCCGTCAATTCGCCACTTATCCATTCCTACGTCAAGCACCGTCCCGTAGGGGGTCAGCGCATTTCGTACGTCCTCTTCTCGTACGTGGTAGAGCAACCAATGCAGCTTCAGACGGACGTCGCGGTGGCTTGGGTCGATTATCATGCATTTGAGGCCTTTCACAGTCAATTGCGGATCAGCTAAAAGTTTCTTTACACCTTCAGTGCTTCGGCACGTCACTGCCCACACGTGGTTCATTTGATAAGCGCCGAGCGCAAGAACCTCGGTGGGCAGAACACGTCGAAAGAGTGGCTCGCGAAAGTCTTCCGCGTGATAAGGTCTTCCTTTTACATCCGCATGCAGAAAAACAGTGTTCTGAACCACATACCCAGTCGGCAGAGGGGGCAAAATAACAGCATAATCCTGGGGCATTTCAATCCTGGAACCGCGGCTAAACTGAGCCGCCGATGCCGCTCCAACGGAGCTCATGATACACACGTCCGCACGCTTTCGCAACCGGAAGTGGAATCCCACTGAGCTATTACAGCGGCACTCCCTCCATCCACTTTTTTGGGTTTATCTGTGAATTTAGAAGTAGGAGCGACAGTCAGCGCCATCTATAAGCCAAACAACGAGTGTGAAAACACTCTTATGCGCATGTTTGGCGTCACGTAGCACGTGAACTTAACATTCCATTAAGTTATTAACATTCCATTAATGTTAATAACTTCCCCTGTACATTCCTTGGCATTACTGTCTGTTATATCTCATTATTATTGTGTTAAAAACACGGAAAAACGAGCCCTTAGGTATACACTTCTTTCCCTTATTTTCATTGAACGAGGGTCTCGTACTGGCAGACTCGGTGTGTTTAGGTTGTATAAGAGGGACAATTAATCAGCTGCCCACTCATAATAAGTTCACGTGCTACGTGACGCCAAACATGCGCATAAGAGTGTTTTCACACTCGTTGTTTGGCTTATAGATGGCGCTGACTGTCGCTCCTACTTCTAAATTCACAGATAAACCCAAAAAAGTGGATGGAGGGAGTGCCGCTGTAATAGCTCAGTGGTTAGAGCATCGAACGCGTAATTCGAAGGTCGTAGGTTCGATTCCTGCTTACGGTTGGTAATTTTTTCATCCACTTTTCTTTCTTCTTATTTACATTCCATTAATGTTAATAACTTCCCCTGTACATTCCTTGGCATTACTGTCTGTTATATCTCATTATTATTGTGTTAAAAACACGGAAAACGAGCCCTTAGGTATACACTTCTTTCCCTTATTTCATTGAACGAGGGTCTCGTACTGGCAGACTTGGTGTGTTTAGGTTGTATAAGAGGGACAATTAATCAGCTGCCCGCTCATAATAAGTTCACGTGCTACGTGACGCCAAACATGCGCATAAGAGTGTTTTCACACTCGTTGTTTGGCTTATAGATGGCGCTGACTGTCGCTCCTACTTCTAAATTCACAGATAAACCCAAAAAAGTGGATGGAGGGAGTGCCGCTGTAATAGCTCAGTGGTTAGAGCATCGAACGCGTAATTCGAAGGTCGTAGGTTCGATTCCTGCTTACGGTTGGTAATTTTTTTCATCCACTTTTCTTTCTTCTTATTTACATTCCATTAATGTTAATAACTTCCCCTGTACATTCCTTGGCATTACTGTCTGTTATATCTCATTATTATTGTGTTAAAAACACGGAAAAACGAGCCCTTAGGTATACACTTCTTTCCCTTATTTCATTGAACGAGGGTCTCGTACTGGCAGACTTGGTGTGTTTAGGTTGTATAAGAGGGACAATTAATCAGCTGCCCGCTCATAATAAGTTCACGTGCTACGTGACGCCAAACATGCGCATAAGAGTGTTTTCACACTCGTTGTTTGGCTTATAGATGGCGCTGACTGTCGCTCCTACTTCTAAATTCACAGATAAACCCAAAAAAGTGGATGGAGGGAGTGCCGCTGTAATAGCTCAGTGGTTAGAGCATCGAACGCGTAATTCGAAGGTCGTAGGTTCGATTCCTGCTTACGGTTGGTAATTTTTTCA